TGAGAGAGCGGACGATCGAGTTTTCACAGGTTCACGGTTCGGATGAACAGTTGGTGCGTCCCTCAACTTGACTGGTGGGTGTAAACGTTCTGATGATCACTGCGCAGCATGATGGATCGTATGGAAAAGGTAATTCTCAGCTCTAACGGATCTTTGTGCTATCACTGATTAGTTGTTGCAGCTGCAGGATCCGGATTTGCGGCAACGACGCTTGGGGATGTAGAAAGCACCGTAGAGTTAGGTCCTTGATGCGCTTCACACATAGTATGATCAGTTAAATACGTATTAATATTGAGGAGGCAAGTCTTGTATCGTTAATACTATCCATAGCATCCTTGTATTATAACAATATTTCTCAGAACAAGAAATAGTTCTAAATTGAAAAGCCGACTCGATGCTGGTAAGGAACCAGGATGGCCATTGATTTGCGCGAGAACATTGGATTTTGAATACCTCAAGCTCCAAGATTCAGTGTCCTATAGTACGGGCATCCTGTATCCGTACTCCAGGGTAGTGACCGTAGTGTAGAGCTATGAACGTCGTGCCCCTCAGGGCACTGTTTTCTACTTCCTTTTTTTGATAGACTTTATTATTTATTTATTATCTATTTAAGTACCAGATTTTTTAATCCAAAATAGTTAAACAATTCGAAACGAGGTTTATCTCTTTGTTCCTTGATGGAATCTCTTGATGGGCATCTACGACGTTCTGGACGTTGTTTCCCGAAATCTTGCTGCCATCGGCGGCATCACATTTGAAGCTTTCGAAGCTTTACCTTACAAGCCACTACCAGACATCCCGGACGCCTCGTACACAATCCTTCATTTTTCGACGACAAACAAATTCCCTGTGAAAGAAAAGACACCAGCGAATGCGAATCAGACTCTCCATGAGACGTGCCAGAAGGCTTTTGGGAGCACGGGGGCGCTCAAGTTCGAATATCTCAACGAAGAAACGAATGCAAGTGCGTAATTACTTTGCCTCGTTATCTCATCTCTGATTATCTCTGGTAGATAAACAGTGTATCCTTACAATAACACGTCCAAATGGCTCGATGCGAAGTTACCAGTCAGACGCAAATTTCACTCGGAAGGCGGAAGCAAAAGCACAGGTGTGCGAGAGGGCTATTGAGCACGATGCACTCAAATTTATCGTTGAAGGAGAATCCAAGATTTCTGGACACCTCGCTCTGTTGGAAAACGAGAGCAAGCTTGATGAGGGAATCCCTGGTAAAGACCCCAAAGTCAAAGCGATAGAGGACTGGTGCGAGGAGAGCAAACTTTTGATCCAGTGGTATGATGTTACTTCCAAGGATGGAGAGCGTAAGCTGGTACAAATATTTCCTGTCGTACTGCTGATCTTATCTTGCAGTCCACGGTGCTGCGATCCGGATCCTTGCAACGTCACATTCATTCCGTGTATACTCCACTCCCGCACTGTACAAGGACGTCACCGAAGCTAAGGCTGCGTGCGCCGGAGTAGCAATTGCCGACGGAGCTTTGAAATTCACTGGAGACGCTTCACTCCCGGCAGCACCCCTTGTTGGACGGATGACCCTCCAAGAATTCTATGATTTACTCCCCCGGCCTCTTCCGGAGCCTTCACTGGCCAAGCAAAACGTGTCAGAAGTTCAAGCCGTTGGTTGGCTGAATCAGACTGTCCAGTCGACGCGCGGTAGTCAGGTACAGGCTGATTACATGCCTTTCACGGAGAATAGTCGTAGGTTTATCAATTCCTTTTGTCTTTCTGTATGTTCATTCTATTACCAGTGTCAGGTTATCTCCTCCGTATTGATCGTCCGGGTCCTAAGGAATGCAAATCGTATATTGTTGATGCGCGCTTTCACAAACGAGGAGATGCGAAGACAGCCGTCGCCCTAATGGCCGTGTCCCAGGGTGTTGGCGAGTGGTTGAAGAAGGTGGCGAGAGACGTCAACAAGATAACACAAGAGATGAAGAGAATCAAAGATACCTTTCTGCCGAAATTGAACAAGGAATGTCAGATTTCTAACGGCGAGCAGCCCACATTTGAGTGCAAGAGTCAACGGGATGGTAAGCTCTATATTTTCTCTCTGACTGGCCAGTCAATTTATGAAATGTCGCAGCATGGTCGTGTACACTAAGAGTCAACTTGTCTCCGACTAAAGGCCAGCGAGATCTTCGAGAGTTTTCGGTGCCGACGCAGTATCGCAACCAGTCTGACGCCAAGGTTGCGGTGTGCTGTAAGGCAGCGAACGAAAATCTTATCGAACTCCTCCGTTTCCGAAGAGAGCCTTCGTTTCCCCAGTACTTGGAAGCGAAAAAGCGAAAACAGCAGGACGACGAGATCGAACCTTCCAGTAAACGGCAAAAGGTGGCTCAGTCACAGACACAGGCAGCAAACGACAACAAGAGGCTGAAAGCGCAGAACGTGCATCTTCCAGCCCGCCCTCATGGCCGGTTTCCATATCCTCCTCCTAGCTATCCTCGATACATGGCTCCTCCTTCCCCGCCTTCGTCAAACCCGCCTTCGTTCACCCCCTATATGCCGCTCCAGCGTCCATATAGGGCCCCTCCACCTAATCACCGACCCTAGTGCGATCAATATTTACGTCTTTTAACTCCGGTTCTGAATCCGTGCGGTGCAGCGTGGGCTTGTCCTACGCGTCGCGAATGTATCTGGACTCCATTGTCACTTGTATAGATGCCGACGTAGTGCTTGAACCTAGATTCAGCATCTGTCACCTGGCTGTGGCTGGGATGCTCAGATGCCTTGCAGCTCATTCATTGTCAATCAATTTGTTTCGGATCCGAGGCAACACCTATCTGAATGATGAGAATTGTTTGGACGTGTCAACAAGTAGATATTTTACGCTTCCTTGGGTTCAAAGATGTAGGAACCTGACAGTCGAAATGAACTTTGAAAATTCTTTCTCCATATTTCAGTCCTTCGAATTCAAGGGCTCCCGCAAATTCATTTGTCATGATATCATTCTAGGGCAAGTCTTACCTCATTTGCTTCCGTCACTTGCTGATCCTTAAGCTCAGAATCCGCACGCTAGCGAATGAGGAACGGCCCACTTTCGGCAGGTGGTGTTATATTTATGGGTCTATATTCACACCAAACTGCACTATACGAATCTGAATCAGTCAATGTCGAAATCACGTCATTATGGTGAGATGGGATGCTATATAACGCGCCCCTAGAACACCGATATTCATTGACCACCACTACTTATCTCAATGGCCGACCAGCATAAATCCCTTCGACTTGGCAGTATCGCCCCCGATTTTGAGGCAGAGACGACGCTAGGCAAAATCAAGTTCCACGAGTGGTTGGGCAACTCTTGGGTATGTCTTGACTTGATGCCTTATGTCGATACCGGAACAAATCTGTGTGTAGGGCGTTCTTTTCTCCCATCCAGGAGATTTCACTCCTGTCTGCACGACTGAGCTGGGTGAAGTCGCTCGGCGCGCACCTGACTTTGCTAAGCGCAACGTCAAGGTTATCGGCATCTCTGCGAACGGTCTCGAGGAGCACCACAAGTGGATTAAAGACATTGAAGAATATGGAGGTAAAACGACGGGTCCTACCAATGTCGAATACCCCATCGTGAGTATCGTATTTGATTACCGCTCTATGTTTCTTGTATTGAAGCGAAGTTGTTCAGATTGCCGATGCTGATCGCAAAATCTCTTACTTGTACGACATGCTGGATTATCAGGATGTTACCAACAGAGATGCAAAAGGACTGCCATTCACTGTACGTTACCACTTGCATGTCTGACGCGTATTCCGGTACCGACACAATAAATGTAGATCCGCACAGTTTTCATCATCGACCCCAAAAAGGTCATCCGCCTGACCATCTCTTACCCCGCAGTAGCCGGACGCAACTTTGTATGTTCTACGTCTGTCCGTCGTTCATGCTTGTGTCTGATGTATCGTATTCTTAGGACGAAATCATTCGTGTCATTGATGCTATCCAGCTGGGTGATAAGCACCGTATTGCCACGCCAGTTAACTGGAATAAGGGTGACGACGTTATCGTTCATGCTAGTGTCAGTAATGAAGAGGCGAAAACCTTGTTCCCTGAGCACAAGGTCCACTATGTGTGTACTTTATCCGTTCGTGGACTGACCAGTGATCTGACATTCCGTTTCCATAGCCTTACCTCCGGACGACGCCTTTGAAGGTGGATTAAATGGTGGGGATAGGTTGTCGATTTTTATATTCTATATGTAGTAAGTCATGTACATGTAACAAAGAGAAGGGCGATTTTAGCATTCTTTGATCTTTCAGCCATCGGTAAACCCGGCTTGCTTAGAAGCGGAGGGAATGATATTATTGCAGTCCGTCGCCACTCTAAAGCACTATTACGTGATCGCCTACCTATGAACAGAAGGTTTTAAGCCCAGCTCCTGAAAAGGACGTGACTCCCATCACATTCAACACGGTTACTACTCTATGTAGAGCCGAGGCCCAACATTATCGCGTCTGAATACAGGCTGCCAGGGCCTGGGACGATACCGAGTAACCGAGACTCGGATCGTTGGATGATGCATGTGGCCCATACACACAGCTTCCTTGGGTTGTGTTTGAGGATTCTCTGATTAGAGTGTTAGGGCGTGCTCCTTCAGAATCATCCGACATATATTGTTTGTACCCATGCGTCGGATATGTTCGACTCGAAGCGCAGGACGTATCGGAATCGCTCAAACTATAGCGACTTATTATTCTAGGTCTCGGATATCAGAGAAAGCGAACAGAAATCATTCTCCTCAACGAGACGGGCGGGAAAGGGTTTGGGGACGAAATACTGTGAAGCGATGTGTATGGCTTCGTTCTTGCCTTGCAGTCCAGTACCGGGACGCGCTATTGAGGTGCTTGGCATTGGAGATTGGTAGCGTTGCACCTTGGAACTTAGTACATAGTAATGAGGACTGAGTGGAGTGCTGAGGTTGTCATTCATTGTGTGGCGCAGGGCGCCATCTCAGTGTGAAGCCAGAATCTTCTAACATGGCCTTATGGTCTAGTCGCATGATTCCTCGTTTGGGTGAAAATTCGAGGAGGTCCTGGGTTCAATTCCCAGTGAGGCCCTTTTTAGCTTTCATTGAACAATGAAACTTGAGACATAAATAATAAATAAGTATTTTTATGTCTTAGAAAGTATGCAAATTCAATAAACTCTCTCATCGACATCATTCATGATGTGGTTGGAAAGACCGTCCGAGAAATCGCTTTGTCATGCATTTCGTTAGCTTATAAAGACTGCTAAGTCTCATCTGGTCTCTTTCTTCCCAGCCACCATCATGTCTTTACCTCCCAGGAAAATCGGCGACTGCTTTAGTCAATCCTATCGGCTTTGGTGCCATGGGACTCAGCAGCTTCTATGGGTCAGTAGACTCTGACGAGGAGCGATTCAAGGTCAGCTCCTTCTCATATATATGGACGCTCACATGACGCGTAGTATAGATTCTGGATGCTGCATATGACAAAGGATGCATGCACTGGGACTCTTCCAACGTTTACGGAGACTCCGAACTTCTTATCGGAAAATGGTATATCCATTATCCTTCTTTACCGAGCGGACTGTGCGATCCATAGGTATATGTTCAGGTTCAAGCGAACGGTACAAACGAAACGAGATCTTCCTTACTTCGAAGTTTGGCATCACCCCGAATGGACCTCGGAGCGATCCCGAGTATGTTAAGGAGCAATGCGCGATATCCCTTCGGCGCTTTGGAGTCGACTGCATTGACCTGTACTATCAGCACCGGTAAGTGATTAATCGAAGTAGTTGCATAGCACCTCTTACCGTAGGACAGACCCGATCCTAATGTACCGATTGAAGTCGGTCTATGCTCTTCTAATTCTATTCAATGTCCTTCATCTAACTGCTCTTTAGTATACCGTCGCTGCGATGGCCGAGCTCGTCAAGTGCGTTCATATTTTTAACTGTTTCGTACCTGTATTGACTCTGCTAGGGAGGGCAAAGTGAAGTATCTTGGCTTGTCAGAGTGCACAGCGAAGGACCTTCGCAGAGCACATGCTGTCCATCCAATCTCTGCCATCCAAGTCGAGTTTTCTCCCTTAGTTCTCTACATCGAGGATTCGAAACTCGCGATTTTGCAAACAGCCTAGAGAGCTAGGCGTCACAGGTCGTCGCGTACTCTCCATTAGCTAGGGGACTCATCACTGGTCAATACAAGTCTCCTGACGATTTTGAAGAGGGAGATTTCCGGAAGACTATTCCCAAGTGCGCATTCTTCGAGTTTGCCTGCTTTATAATGAAGACTTGATGACTTTTTCATAGGTATTCGAAGGAGAATTTCCCCAAGATTCTTAACCTTGTCGATCGTTTGAAGGCTATTGCATCAAAGCATAACGCGACGCCTGGACAAGTTACCCTCGCTTGGATACTTGCCCAAGGCGACGACTTTGTCGTTATTCCGGGCACAAAGAAGATCAAGGTAGTCACGTAGTGCTATCATGTTTCCTCGTCTTGTACACTCACTTTTCCCCCAGTATTTGGAAGAAAACCTAGGAGCGGCAAAGGTTAAGCTCAACCAAGAGGAGATTACTGCGATTCGTAAACTTGCGGAAGAAAGCGATATTCCTGGTGAAAGGTACGCAGCAGCCGCGATGGCAGCGGTATTGCAGGGAACGCCCGAACTATCCAAATAGCTTCGTCCGATGACGGACTAGGCATGAGGTGATGTACATAATTGTATCGTGTAAATAACGGTGACAGATGTAGTACCAGGATCGTGCGAAATGAGACCTTATTTTTATGGACCCCTCCCTCACCCGAGAATTATCAAGCCCAGTGCTTCAGCCTTGGCATTAGTCATGTTATAACTAAGCGTATGTGAACCAACGGAGCAGTCTTCGTCAGCTAGATTTCGGGGGGCTGAATGATAAAGACCCTGGCCGACTAAGCTAGAATTGATATAAGTATGATTAGACGCACGTCGTTAATCAGTTTCTCAGAAGTACCATGGCCTCTAATTCAACGTTCGAAGATTCATCTTTGTGCGTTTGTTTCTCGCCGATAATTGACAAAGTGTAATTTCTTTGCTCGAGGTCACCGGCGGTACTGGCTTTCATTGGGTTCCACGTCCTTGTTCAGCTAGCTAGAAGCTGGATATACGGTTCGAGCGTATGTGCATTCATTGTGGGATGCTTCACTGGGACTAAAAGCACTAACAGCACAGCACGCGGCAAGAAGGCAGCCCTTCCTCCGCACCGCGCTCGGCACGACGTATGACAAACTGCAAGTCTTAGAAATTCCGGACAGTCTTCTCCGATGATTTGAGCACAGCCCTGCAAGGTTTGCTTTAATGGCTTGTGAAGCGTGAAACTGCAGCTTTATCCTCGACTCTAGGTGTGTATGGAATCATACATCTTGCAGCGACGACCCCGGGGAAGGCGAACGCCGCAACGTCTTATCGTGTATGTATTTATTGAAATTCGTGTCGTGGCTCCTCATACCGAGTGTTCGATTCAAGCTTGCAACTGAAGGATCTCGTCATATTTTGCGCGAAGCCATTCAAGGCTGGTGTTAAACGTGTAGTAAACACCAGTACCACTGTGGCATATCCTCCAGGAGGACCGTACGGTGTGGACGGTAAGTTTAATCACATTCGGAACTAAGAGGTGGCTCTGAATGATCAGCCTAGACTGGTTCTCTATGACGCAGGAAGAAGTCAGCGCAACGAATAATTCCTTCTTGATCTACCAAGGCTCCAAGACCTGCCGCAGATCAGGCTATGCTGGAATTTTCCAAGGATCATCCAGAGCTAGATATTTCCTTCGGTAGGGGGGAGACTATCTGCTCGCCACAATTCATCGAACTGACGAATTACCTACATACAGTTGCGCCACATTACACCTTTGGTCCCCTTGCTCCCGGATTTGAACACATGTTGCTAGAGCCCGAGTACAAAGCCCTCTCTACCAACGGCTTCATATACGCCCTCCTCCGCCCCGACAACGTCCACTTTGCCGTGTCCCCAGGAGCCATCGACGTCCGCGACGCTGCCCGCGCGCACCTCCTCGCCCTGGAATCTCCGCCCACATCGGCGGTCGGCAGGAAGCGATCCCCTTTGGTCTCCCCTTACCAATCGTCTTATAAAGACGCCATCGACATTATTGCGCAGGAACGCCCGGAGTTGCAGGACCGACTCGGTCCATCCGTCGAAGGCGCCAGAGTGGCCGTCCTATACGATCGAAGTCGATAGAGAGCTGGTCGAGAAGCAGATTGGGCTCAGGGTGGATTCATATATCCCTTGGAGGGATACCGTGCTAGATGCTGTGGATAGTCTAGTGCGGATCGAGAATATCTGGAAGGCGAGAGGGTTTGCAGTTGCGGTACCTGATACTCCTCCGATGTAAAAGGCCTGCTGACGTTGTATAAATGGAGACCGCAAGAATGCAATGCTCGTTTCCCCATTTCTTCAGGTTTTCACCGATGCTCCCGGTGTTGGTGGGCATACCGCCCATCTAAAAGCTGTTCTCTTCACATCCATACCATCGCTGTACGTGATCCACCGCAAGTTCGGAACGATCTCTCGATGCTCAAGGAAAAAGAAGCCCAAGTTCGCCCGTGCGTCCGTCATAGGATCCCTCAGCCCCCCTCGCTTCGACACGTCGAACGTTATACTCCGACACAGGACATTCGGCAAACCCTGCTCCAAGTTGAGAATCCGAGTGATGGCTGCTTCTCCGCAAAGCAGACGGCGGAAATGCACGATGAACGACAGTGATGGTACGGACACGTCGCGCCAGGATACGCGCAGGAAGAGCTCAGCCCACGCGCGATTCACAAGGACGGAGGACGTGATGAGATGGACGCGTTCGGCGGTGGTGAGTTTGAGCGACCACAGAGAAAAGATGGCCTGCTCGATGATTTCCGGGGGGAGTTTGGTTACAATGTTGGGAGACATGGTCGTTGGAAAGGGGAGACGTGCTCAGAGTACGCTTGGAGGGGGTCAGCGCTCGTATATAAGGCGTTCAGGGTCCGGTCTTGTCTGAGACCCGAAGAGTTTATCGCGCCCTGATCGTTTCAGACGTAGTCAAAGCCGCCTCATATCCTTCAATCCAGACTGTCACTGAAATTCTTGGAGCGTTTCTGTTGCGACAGTCATCCATGCTGGGGTGGTCGACTAAGGCTTTTCGTCTCACTAGTGTTGAATGTACCGAACATGAGAAAACGGAATGTAAATTCCTTTTCAAGTGGGTTGTATGATAGCCCAACGCACGGCTATAATGAAGTCAACTTCTTGAAGTGATGTTCCACCTACTCCTCGAGAAAGCGACGTATGTTGATGGTATCCTGTTGACGGGTCTTATCTTCCGCCGACCCTGTTTTTCGGGCGGCCCATTGCTAAAGGAGGTTCAGCTCATACAGTATTCGTCGTTCACGCACTTCTCATTGATTTGCTTCTTACCCTCTTAGTACCATTCATTGTGAATCTCGCACTGAACGTATTCTCGCTTGCAAATTTGAGCTTGAGCTTGAGCTTGAGGGCTTGAAGTGCATATCCCGCCTTATACCCGAAGACGTTGACTAGTTCCGACCCGGAGACAAGCGGATCACTGCCGAACAAACGCGCACGCGACTGAACGCGTGTTTGTGTACCACTGATGGATGAGGCCACATGACTGTGGCGATGCTACGTTGATTTATGTATGGATAGACAAATGGCGTGTGAAAATACATCTGTGGTTGCACTGTGAATGATGATGATGCTGATGCTGATGCCGATATATGATGGAAATGGGAATGCGGCAAAACTGCCGGGGGAGCTATTGGGTCCGCCTCCTCGACCTCGGTCTCTCTTCTAGCTCGGCATCATGCGAGTCCTCGCTATCTTCTCTCTGTCGCGTCAAGGGGGACGATGGACCCGCGGACAGCCGGTGCCGGTGCCGGGTCAGGCAGAAGAGCAGGAAGGTTCGACGGGAAGGATTGCTGGTACTGGTTGTGGTTGTGGAGGAGTCGAGTCGGGCAGAGAAGCAGGAGGTTCGACAGGAAGGACTGCAGGTACCGGTTGTGGCAGTGGAGGCACTGGTACTGATACCGGTGCGACGTTGTTTGC